GCCTATTTGTCCTTGTTTTTATTATTGTCCTGTACCGTCTGCCAGATGGTAATAGTTAAAAAAAAAAAAGGGGAGCTCAGGATGAGATGGATCTTGGAGAATGTTTTGAACTTTCTTAAGGCAGCGGGAGCTGTAAAGCTCTTCCAAAGAGGGGAGAGGGCAACCAATGATCTTCTGGGCAATGACATGAACCCTCTGGAATGCTGTCCTATGTTTGCAACTGGCAAACCATACATAGGTGCAGTAAGTTAAGATACTCTCTCTGGTGCAACCGCAGGGGTGGGATTCTACCGGTTCGCACCTATTCGCTAGAATCGGTTGTTAACATCCTAAGCAGTTCGGAGAACCGGTTGTTAGAAGAAATTACAGGCCTAATCCTGTAAGGAAGGCAGGAAGGAAACATTCTGGTGTTGCTTACAGAAACTGCCTCTCCGTTGACTCTTATTACATTCTTGGCAGGACCAGACTTCCTGTCTCAGGAACATCTCTGGAGTTTTTTTCCCCTCTTTTGCTGGTACTTTGCTTGTGTGGAGTGACCATTCAAAGTTACAATGGCACTGAAAAAAGTGACTTATGACCGTTTTTCACACTTACGACTGTTGCAGCATCCCCACAGTCACGAGAGGCCAGGCGAGGAGATGCGTGCCTCGATGTGAGTGATGTTGAGTTGGCCAATAACATGACCACCAAGCCATGTCCAGCCAGTCACATGACCACCAAGCCACGCCCACCAACTAAACCATGCCCACAGAACCAGTTGTTAAAAATTTTGAATCCCACCCCTGTGCAGCAGTAGAAGGTCACCAGCAGTTTTCCATTCAGTTGTTGTTTTCTGAGAGGTCTCAGGTAGTATAATCTCTGCTGGGCCCTTTTGACCATGGCTACAATGTGGGCACCCCAGGTCAGGTCCTCTTTTAGGGTAACACCCAGAAACTTAAAACTGGCCACTTGCTCCCTTCGGTCTCCACTGATAAGCAAGGGCTCGGTGTCTGATCTGCTCCTTCTATAGTCCACTATAAGCTCCTTGGTCTTATTGGTATTGAGGACCAAGTTATGGTCTCCACACCACGAAAGCAACCGTTCCACCTCATCTCGATAGGCAGACTCATTCCAACCCCCCCGGAGATGAGTCCCACCACTTTCCGCTTCCACAACCATGAGGGGTAGAAGCTTGGTTTTTAAGAATACTGAGTTCTAAAGATAATACCTTGATTTTATTTTTCCTGTCCTGCTTAGCAGTATTATGCAACCTCCTTTTGGTCTTTTAGGAGCTTTTATGCTACAAATACCGGGCTGAAAACACGCGTGTCGCCACCACAGCGAGGCACCATTGTTCCCGGCAGCCTCCTGGGGATTTCCACCTGGTCTGGCAACGCACTTTCCCCAGCCCTCTGCTATCCATGGACTACGTAGACCTGACCTGCGATGGACTCTGCGAACTGGCCGTGGTGTGTCTGAAGGGGTTGCACATACTCCAGGTTTGTGTGCCAGGAGAAGGAGGGGGTGGAGAAGACGCCTTCGGCAAAGCCCACTCAAGAGGCAGAAGCAACATTTGCCAGAATGTTCCTTTTCAATTTGCAATTGAATTACAACTCGATTTACAATTTACACTTGCAAATTGGTTATCCTGCAAAACCTCTAGCCGTTTTTTTTTTCGTTTCCTTTAACTACCTTTGAAGCTCCAGTTGGTGCAAAATGCAGCGGCCCGCATGGTTTTGTGCAGACTTTGGTGCATGCACCTCTATCCACCTGTCGTGAGGGAGCTGCATTCGTTGCCGATTTGCTTCCAGGTGCAATTCAAGATGTGCTGGTTATCACCTTCAAAGCCCTTCGTGGCTTGGGACCAGGTTGTCTGAGGGACCGTCTCTTGCCCATCACATCTACCCGACCCACTAGAGCAGGGAGGCAAGGAATGTTGCAGGTCCCATCCCCTAAGGAGATACACCTGGTGGGACCCCAAAAGACCCACCTTCTCCGTGGTGGCTCCCTCTCTCTGGAACATCCTCCCCCTAGAGAGTAGAATTACCCCCACTCTTAACACTCTTCTGGAAGGTGCTGAAGACCTGGTTCTGCCAGCAGGCCTGGGGAACCCAGAGCGGGATGGAGCTCATTAAATGGCTCGTGTGAGGTGCTGTCACCAGGGTGTGGGGGGCTATTATTTCTTTTTCTTTTTTATATACCTGTGTTTCCCAAAAAATAAGACCCTGTGTTATATATTTTTTTGGCCACCAAAAAAGGCACCAGGTCTTATTTTGGGGGGATGTCATCCACTGACTAACCTCACTTGCATGCGTCACCCCGCCAGCCTCCTTTTCGCTGTCAGAGGCCTTCAGGAACTACTACTTCTGCGGCCGGCAAGGCTTTCCTGAAGGCCTCTGCAGCCAATAACAGAGCTTTGGATCGATCCAGAGCTTATCAGCTCCAGAGGCCTTCAGGAAAGTCTTGCTGGTCGCAGAAAAAAATGGGCCGGCAAGGCAGGTGTCGGGGTGTGCAAGGCCTGGCTACAACTGTCCAAAGGTAAGTAGTAGGGCAGCTCCACCTCCCCATCCCTACCCTAGCTTAATTTTTACCCATGCACTCTGGAGTGGGTGGGATCTTAATTAGGGCTTATTTGGGGGGTAGGGCTTATATTGGGGGCATGTGTAAAAAAAAAGCTAGGACTTACTTTCAGGGTAGGTTGTATTTTCGGGAAAACACTGGTACGATGTTTTCACATCCCTGTAAGCCGCCTTGAGTCGCCATGTGCGAAATAGGCAATAATAATTGTCTAATAAGTAAATATACAAACCACCAAACCAACTGATTTTTGCCCCTCAATGCAGCACAGCCTGACGGACGTCGTCCAGTGCCTTCTAGAGCGGCTTCGGGTGGAAGCGACAAACCGGGCGTCCCAACCGAATGCTTCCGTGCAGGAGCAAGATTCCAGAGTTGGGGATACGGATGGCCGAGGACCAAGAACCTGAGGTCCTGGCTGTGCCTTAACCCCCTTCCTGTGCTCTTTTCATCCCCCACGAAACGAGGAACGGACTCGGGAGCAGAGCCACATCCAAAGGATTCTTCCAGCCTTCTGCAGGGTCCCGGAAAGAGCGTGGGAATTTAATTTAGGCGGCTGTGAAGGGTAGTGAGAAGACTGATCCGTTCCCGTGACACTTTCACTGGCATAACTGCAGCCGCCTCAAACGCAGGAAGTGCTCCGTGCCCAGCACAGTCCAGTAATTTGTTTGTCTCTGGGCCTCCAAGCGGGGGCGCTACTCCGAACGACCAAGACCATCATAAATAGAAAATAAATATTTGTACAGATAGTCCTTTGACTTACAATAGTTCGTTTGAAGTTACAACGGCAGCCCTGGGGGGAAAAAAAGTGACCATTATGACCATTTTTCACACTTACGACCTGTTGCAACGGTCCCCGGGGGTCACGTGATCAACATTTGGCAACCGCTTCAGCTTTATGACCGTCACCTGATCCCCTTTTGCAACCAGTTGACAGGCAAAGTCAATGGGGGGGGGAGCCAAGATTCATTTAACAGCCGTGTCGCTAACTTTTCACGGCTTTCGTGAGTCCCTTTTCACAACGAAATGGCACGAAAAAACGGGACGAAAGACACTTCAGCAAATTTCTTCCTGAGCGATGTAAATCTTGGGCTCACGGGTGGTCGTAAGTGGAGGGCTAGGTGTACAAGTAGTGGGGTCTGCTCGCTGTCAGGATAGATAAACTGAAACGGCGAGGCTGATAACTGCTGCCAAGTTACTCGAACTCGGCGTCCTCTCTGTCCACCTGGCCGTTCCCCAGAGCTTCTTGAGAGTAAGGGCCTTTTCGCCTTACAACGGAACGGAAGAAAAGTATCCGAGGGGGGATAACCAGAGGCAAGGAAGCACCTCCAGGCCTTTGAATGGCCCAAGTCCCCCCCTTTTTGTGCTGTCGTCCGAACCCTAAAGAGATTTGCCCCATAGAATCTCTCCTCTCCGATCCCCCTTCCTTACTCCTGGTCTTTCTGTCCCTCATTTGTCCCCTCCTAAGCCGATGGAATGGGGACGCAGTGGCTCAGGGGCTAAGACGCTGAGCTTGTCGATCAGAAAGGTCAGCAGTTGGGCGGTTCGAACCCCCAGCGCTGCCTAATGGAGTGAGCTCCCGTTCCTTGTCCCAGCAGCTTCTGCCAACCTAGCAGTTTGAAAGCATGTAAAAGAAAAAAAAAATGCAAGTAGAAAAACAGGGACCCCTTTGATGGGAAGGGAACAGCGTTCCGTGCGCCGTTGGCGTTTAGTCCTGCCAGCCACGTGACCACGGAGACGTCTTCGGACAGCGCTGGCTCTTCGGCTTTGTCACGGAGATGAGTACCGCCCCCTAGAGCCAGAAACGACTAGTACGCATGTGCAAGAAGAATCTTTATCTTTACGTGTGTGTGTGTGGGTGGGTGGGTGTTTGGGTGTAGGTATATATGTCTGGGTGTCCTTTTCCTCTTCTCTTCCTTTTCCTCCTCTTCCTCCCCCCTCCTCCCTCCTATTCCTCTGCATGGCGACAGAGCTGTCTGTGTTCCAGATTTGGCTAGCAAATGAGAACAGATGGCTTGGGAGAAAGAGATGAAGTTTGCAGCATTGTAATTAGGAAGGGTTTTGTGTGTGTGTGTGTGTGTGGTATCTTAGCCTGCTGCAAAGGGGGTGGGGTGGGGTGACCAGAGCCCTGCCCTTGTCAGGCCAGGAAGCCCACCCCCCTCCAGGGTCTCCTTGGCACACAACCTGCATTTTGTCTTCACCTGTGGGAAGCGTGGGCCATTCAGGCGCCTCGGCTTCAGGCGAGGGAAATCACCCCACGTCTGGGAAGGAGGTGGAGCCAGAGTTCCTTGCATTGCATAAGTCACACAACAGCGTATCTCCTGGGGACGGAGGTGTGTGTGTGTGTATGTTCGTGCATGTGTGCCTCAGGCTGTTGACATCCAGGAATCCAATTTTGTGGAGGGCTCGAACCGGATTCGGCGAAACCTGTATTCCGACCAGCTTCTTCAAGCTGCAGAAAGCGAGGACTTGGGATTGCAAACCTTTGCCGAAAAGGAGGTGCCTCGGAAATCTAGATCTTTCTTAGGATCCCTCGAAGGAGCCCAGGCTTTGATTGATCCTGGCGAGGAGATTAAGGGGATCTGTGAGGGGGTTGAACAGCTGCTCTGCAGTAAATGGAGCAGAATTAAACCATTGCTTTTTGGAAAGCAGACGGACAGCCAAGAACGGAGATACTGCAGGTCGACGGGACTAGATAAAATAAACGGGGAGAAAGAAGCATTGGAGGTGTTGAGGGATGGGATTGCCTGCCTTGAGAGGCGATGGATTCTCCTTCCATTTAAGACGTTTCATCAGAAGCAGGGAAATCCGTACACACTTAATGACCATTCGAACTTACGATGAACCTTCCGCCCCCCCCCATCCCCAAAAAAGAGACGACCCTATTTTGAAATTCTACACACAAATTCTGTCACACCCCTGACAGACACACCGCATTTGGGGCACCTGGCAACCAACTTGATTGACAGCAGTTTGCAGCATCCTGCAGACCCATGACAGCCATTTTGGACTCCCCCAGTTTCCGGGTATCATGCATTTGTTTAACAAACCCCACATTGGCGTAACCCCTGCCAAAGCCCTAACATTGGGCGTGGTCATGGGATCCATTTCATGACACCCGTGGCATACAGTGGTCATTCTGGGCTCGATCAGAGGCATAAGTTGAAAATGACCTGTGTTGGGGAATGATGTGTTTTGCCTCCCAAGAGAAGGCAGTTTGTCTCATTTCCAAGAGAGTTACAGTTTCTCCCTTCTCCAGCCCTTTGCCCAACATTCTCCGTGTGGCGGGCCTCCAAATGTGTGGGACCAACCCCCATAATTTCCAGCCCTTATGGACCACAGTTAGGAACTCTGGGATTTGAAACTTGTCTAAGAAGGAAAATGTCCAATGTTCCCATTTTTGAGATTTGGAAAGGGAATGTTGTGATTTGCCGGCAGCCTGTACAGACGGCAGCAGAATCGGACAGTGGGGAAGAACAGGGACCAGTCTGGGAATTTGGGGAGGACTTGGACGAAGGTCCTGCGTCCGATGCAGAGATGGGGCCAGGACCATCTGGGAGTGGGGTGCTCCCTCCGGAGTCTGGCAGCAGCGAGGAAGAGGAACAAGGGGAGCCTGTTCCCAGTGTGTGTGTGTGCGTAGAGGTGCTAGAAGTCAAGAGCAGCTGAAACAGAAAGGGCAACTCAAGAGTAAGGTTTGGAGGTGATTGCCCCTCCCCTAAGGTATAAAGGACAGACAAAGGTGAAGAAACCTTTGCAGGAAGCAAGGTTGTTCGCTCTGTTCAGATTAAACCTTGAAGCTCTGTGTGGACTTTGTACTTCGGTTGGTTTTTTATAATTCATTTGGCACTCTAGTTGTTGGCAACAATTCAAAGGAGATAAAGGTGGGTGCTAATCTCGAGGGACTGTTTGGGACTCATTACGGGCTGGGAATGAACATAATTCCCAGTGTTGAAATAAAACAAGAGTTGTTTTAACTAAGCGTGCGCTTAATTACGGTCTCGGGAAGCCTTGGTCAGAACAGGGAGATCACTTTTTCCTCAGCTCAACCCACCTCACAGGGCTGTCGTGGGGAGAATAGGAGGAAGAAGGAGTGCAGGCAGTCCTTGATTTACAACAATTCGTTTAGTGATCGAAGGGCACAGAAAAAAAGCAACAGATGATTGTTTTTCGCTCTTATGACCGTTGCAGCATCCCCGTGGTCGCGTAATCAAAAGTCCAGGAGCTTGGATTCTTATTTATGACATTTGTGGGCTCGTGTGATCCCATTTTGTGACCTGACAAGCAAAGTCAATGGGGAAGAAACCAGATTTTCTGGTTAACAGCCTCATTACTAACTTAGCAGCTGCAGTGATTCGCTTCACAACAGTTGCCAAAAAAGGCCGTAAAATGGGGGAAAACTCACTTAACAAATGTCTCACTTAACAACTGAACACTTGGGCTGAATTAAGTCAAGGATGACCTGTATTAGTAATGTCCGCTGCCTCAAGTCACCTATAAAGTAATAAAAGGCAGGATAAAAATCTAATACATAATTTCTACTGGGAAAGAAATTTCCCAGTACTGCCGGCTAGGATTTGGATTCGAGTCCTGCATCCGGTTAGGCCAAAAGGCGAACCTTTCAGCTTTCAAGGGCGGCTTTTTTTCTTGAATGAACTTAGGAAGGATTGAAGTAGAAATATAAAAATCGGCCAATTTGAAAGCAAGAAATAAAATTCGAGCCTCCGGAATTGGGGAGCTGTCCGCCTCTCCGTGGTGCTGAAATGGCTCTTCCGTGAGGAAAGCAACTGGCAGAGTTATTAACCCTTTATGTCCCACCTCTCCTGCCAAGGCATTCCAGGCACTGCTTATCCGAGGACCCCTGATAGATTCAGCCTCTGGCTACTGGAGATGATGGGGCTTGTAGTTGCCCCACCTTTTGCTGGGCGATTTTGTGTTCCCCGCTTCTATTTTGTCAATACCTGGCATTGAGGTGCGCTGGCTCCCTCCACAGACCCTCCCGGGGGGTCCCAGTCCCAGCTGACCAGCCCTCTCCTCTTCTTCCTCCTCCCCTCTTCCTCCTCTTCCCTCCTTCATCTTTCTCCTCCTCCTTCCTCTTCCTCCTCTTCCCTCCTCCTCCTCCCTCCTCCCCT